TCTTTATTGGCTTCCATCGTCTTGTACAGCTCGCCCATTGAATGAAGCAACGTGTCATTTTTACGTGACTGGAGCAACTCAATCAACTCAGGCACAAGATGAAGCATTTGAACTGCCGCATTCATGTAACATGTATTTGCAATGTTTCTCAGTCCTGTAGGCATCCTCGTGGCTGCAGCGGGAGCTTGGACCGCTGTCGTGTTGGATGCGGCGGCTGGCGACGGCGGTGGTTCTTTGGTTTGTGGTGGTTCCGCTGCCGCTCCAAGAAGCATCAGCGTTTTGCCGTCAGTGACACCAACTTGGGAGAGCGTAGCGTCGTCCTTGGATGCATTGGCTTTGAGGCCCATAATTTTTTGCCGTTCCACAGGAACCTGTGTCAGCTGCAGCAGCTTTTCCTTGAATGCCCCCACCGTGCTCTGAAGGCTGACCGTAATCTCAAGAAGCTCCTTGCCCCACTTTACCTTTACCGTCGCCATTTGCAAAGCACCTGCTTGGAGAATAATCTTACGATGTGTTGTTGTTTCTTTTAATCTTTGGTGTGTATGTGTGCGTGTAACTTCGTCCCGCCGCTGCCTCAAACCAATGCCGTGTAAAAAGGAAACAGGAACAAAGAAAAAAAACATACTGATAATAATAAAACAAGAAAAATTTACAAAATGAACAAAATGTGTGGCCACAAAAACCCCTCATGAAAACGTGCGGCATTTCTTTGCACTTTCCAAAATGCCTCGGTTGTCTATCTCTCTCTCTCTCTCTCTCTCCCACTCATCCCTTCGCTTCGCACCCCAATCGTCACGGGCCTGCTGGCTGCAATAATGACTGACACGTCACGAGAATGGAAATGCGTCTCAATAACACCGCCACAAATAATAACGTCCCCACAAGTTGGCAAACTTACACACAAAAAAAAATTCAATTTCTTTTTCTTTTTTCTTTTTTTTTTTTTTTTTGTGTCCACATCGCTCCAGACCCGTGGCAAGACGTCATTTTCATACTCTGAGGCGTTGCCGCTCAGCAAGCAGGAACGGAGTGGGAGCGGAACGAATGCAGATGCGGTTGTCGACGGATGGGATCGAAGTGCGACTGCACATGTGCTGAAGAAACAGAGAGACAAAGTGACAGTAATCAAACAGCAGACACTTCATTGACAGACGCAATTGGGGCGTCATGAATGCCTCCTGCGCCGGTTTTGTAGCCTTCAGGCGTAAAGCCTTATTGTGCGGGATCCGCAGGTCCTCCTCCCAAGTACCCGAATTCCCACCCGCAAGCCTACGGAAAACGCGGTCTCCCGTAAAGGAGCGTTGAATCTACATAACACCCCACAACGGCAAAGCGATGGATTTCCTCAGCGGAGATGGACCGTGTGGACCTTGGCGGCAGGATATCATGACAACATGTATTTCACTGGCCCTGAAAAAAGCCAGAAATACACACACAAAAAAAAAAAAAAACCGCTCATCTCATGGCATTCTACAACAATAATATTGTCATCATCATTATTATCCACAAATAGTAATCGGGCTCCATCGCAGAAAATGGGACGTCACTTCCATGACATGCCGGGCACCGTAGATCCTGCGATTGCTACACAAATGGAAGCCGTTTGAGGAGCGTGAATTGTATCCACGACG